CTCATTATCAAACCCTGGTAAGCGATATATCATCAGCTTTACCTGTTTTCCTAAAGACTCGTAAGGGTATGCTATATCAGTGTAACCTAATGTTTGTCGGACAAATTTTGGGATACTTCAATTATTCAATAAACTTCCAATCATAATGCACAAGACTCGAGTTCTCTCACGCTATTCGACTGGAAGATAATTGAATAGGGGCAGCTGCCGTACCCCAAATTTGTCCTACCTCGATAATTTTATTCTTCGAGATTAAAATAGAAGAAACATTTAATTAAGGATGGTACATTAGTATCTGATGGCCCATCTTTATCAAACTAGGGGGTGAACCTTAAATTCAAGAGAGCGGGGCTTGCTAAAATCAGAAAGACTCGTGTATCCATGGCCTCATTCGTGTAGCATGTTGACCAATGGCCCATGCGATTCGGAAATAAAAATTATTTGAATAATTATTAAGCTCTTATTATTAATAGTTGTTATTAGTTAAAAGAGAGGTTAAAATTAAAAACAGTTAATCCCATTTAAATGTTATGTGGTGTTAAACAGTAAATAGGGGGTGTATCAATAACTGATGCCCATTAAGTCTTATCGTTACTTTAAAAAAAGTTGTTTATTATTATTTTAAATAAATAAATAAGTAATATATTTGTTTTTTAAAAAAGAAAAAACGTAAGATCAATGCTGATAACTTAGTTAACTTGTTTTGTTGTTTTTTAAGTTATATTTTGTTGTTTTGGAAAAAAGGCCATTTGGGCCTGGTTTGAAAATCTTACCGTTTCCTTGTTGTATTAATAAAAACATTGTATTGGGCTGAACGAAATATGGCAAGCGCATGCCCATGTTGAAATAACCATTACTGTATCCGTTAGACCAAAATATGCATTTTTGTTTGGACTAACTAACACTGTACAAATCATTTTTTTATCAAATATTTTTGCAGTTAACATAAAATTGACTAAATCAAATCTCCAAAATTGAATCTAGAAAATTACAGTCAAGAAAATCCCAGAATCACACACACATTTTGGAACATATACTGTTCAAATTAAAACAAATCCATAATGCCCTTTTACAATACAAAACGTAAGAACAACTAAATCAAATCTTCATTCAAATCTCCAGAAATAAGTATACAGAAAATCAATCAACAGCACAAACGAAATATAACATTAAAGATGAATCAAATCAATTACAAGTGAATTAATTAAATATCAGAATCAATTACAAATTGGAATCAAATCCCTAAATCTCTAATAACCCTAAATTTCTGCTAATCTGAACTATAACGCTAACAAAATACAGAATCCTAAAAAATCTAAACGTAATTGGAAAAAGCTATAAATACAAGGGAAAAGAGAGAGGAAGAGGAGTTTTTTGGTGGTTGACTGAAAAAGAACAGAGGAATGCCGTGAAGTATGAACGTAGAGAATCTTGAAGTCGGAGCCCTTGCGAGCGAACATCGTTGAAGAAGGGAAGAACGGTTGGGGTTTCATTGTCAGAAACCACAACCGTCGTTGGCGGCCGCCTTCAACCGACCACTGTTGCCTCCACTCAGAATCAGACACTTGGAGATTCGACGGGGTAATTCTTTTTTTGTTCAATTTTGTCGTTTGATGATATAGGGCTAGGAGGTTCGTGGGGGGTAGATCGCGTTTTTCTTTCCGGCGCCGCCTGGTTGTGGTTTTAGGGTTGATAGGGAGAAGAAGGTTAAAGGGTTTGTGTCACTAGCGGAGAGAGAGAGAGAGAGAGAGAGAGAGAGAGAAAAGAGATGAATAGGTGTTCACTATAAAACTGAATTATTGTAAAATGAAATTAAAACAATATTAATCCGTATCAATCCCATACAAACGTGCCCATAGTAATTATCATGCACCTTCCGTCACGTTCTTTAGATCCTCATCAAACGGCCAAGAGGCCAAGTCTATAGTAAGATTCGTACACCTTTACACACGCGATCGGCCAGGACCCCTCTCAAAAGCACATTGGGCCAAGCCCGGTTACTTTTAACACTCGCCCTTCTGCCTAATTGCTAAAAGCCAAAACATAATGCACCCCCCTGCCTCGACGCATACTGGGCCTGTTTCACATTATTAACCACACTCCCCCAGTTTTACTTATCCATTAGGAATTGCATCCCCCTTTTTTTTTGGATTTAATTTATTTATTTTTATAATTTAATTATCATTTCTATTATATATATATATATATATATATATATATATATATATATATATATATATATATATATATATATATATATATATATATATATATATATATATATATATATATATATATATATATATATATATATATATATATATATATATATATATATATATATATATATATATATATATATATATATATATATATATATTATTTACAGTAAATATTATTATTGGCAAATAGTGATTTTTTATTATTATTGTATTTTGATATTATTATTATATATTGTTATAATTACTTAATTTTTTACTATTATTCATAATTATCATTTATTATTTATAATCCCTTTTTATGTAAATATTATTAATATATTTTATTTGCTATTTAAATATTAACATGTTATCAAATAAATTTATTTTATATTAAAGTTGCATATATTATTTTATATATTATTTGCATTGAACTTTTCTCTAATCATGTATTAATCAAGATCTTCGCAAATAATACGATTACAAAATCCAAATAAATCATCAAACTTTTTTCGCAATAAACTAAACTAATAAACTTTTTTTTTTTTGCAAAAGGGTTTCAAACTAGTTTTGACTTACTGCGCATTTAGTCAAAATCTCCGCAATCACTACTCTCGACCGAGTGCAAGGTGATTCAAAATATGTTTGCGAACCCCTAAAAAACACCAACCCCATACGAACTATGGATTGGGACTCTGATTCCTCATAAGAGGATACGTAGGCATACGATCAAAAATCGTGGCGAGTCTTTCTAATTAAAACTTAAAATCCAGTTTTACCCAACCTAAACCTAGATCCTAATATCCTTGTAAACAAGGTAGATGAAAGGTGCCTAACACCTTCCTTTCGTCTAATTGAGTCTGAGACCTAGAATCTTTGTTTGCGAATTAGGGTTTCCTATTAGATGCTCTTCCCTAGGATAAAAACTAATAGTGGAGACTCCTGATTAAAAAACCAGTCGCAACACAAGGGCCTTATACTAGTTGAATGCCACAGGATCTTCAACAGTCTTTGGTTGGGGAATTTGAGTAATGTCTTCCAAATCGTGGCCTCCATATTGAAGGTCTATGTAGTTATCCATGTTGTTGACTGTAATCTACAAAGTATAGGATGCCCCCACATTTGGAAGAGGTGGAAGGAAACCTTTAGTCATGATGGTCTCTTGTTGGGAAACAATTGACTTTGCGGGACCAGATTCATGTTTATGTCTTGGTTGGTGACCAATGTTTTGGGCTATTTCTTCAAAAGCTACCTTTGGAATTTGATCTTGTCTTTCTATGATGTTCTTCAAGGCAAGCAGAACTTGACTCATATTATCCTTCACTAAGTTGATACTTCCTTTCACTTGTTCCATATCTTCTTTAAAAGCAACTTGATTATGTTCGAGTTTCTCCATTACTTTCTTTTTAAGAGCTCTTTTTTCTCCATTACTTTCTCTATTACTTTCTTTTTAACTCGAGATGATATGAAAACAATGAGTTTTTTTGTATGAAATATGAAACGTGATGCTTGGGGTTGGATGAATGCGTATAAATATGCTAAGAATTTATTTCGAATGTCTTATTCTCATTGGATTTCCTTTTATTATTCATCCTTATTTTTTAGGTTTTACTTTTTATTAGTGAGTATCCTAAAATAAATACACAAATGAAATGTTGAAGCAAAAGTACTTTTATTGAACAATAACCATCATCATTGCAAAAAAAAAGAATACAATTCAAATACCAAAACAAATACTGAATGGAAAATACTGCAAGGGAATACTGAATCAAATGTCAAATACTTAAAGAAATAACAAAAGGGGAACTAAATCATCTAAGCACGTTTGCGTATCTCCGGCCTAAAACCATCCACCATCTCCCTACAAGTCTTGAGGAAGTCTTCAACGTCCTTCAGAAGAGGGACCATCATGGATTATGCATCTCTCAAACTTCTAGGAATGTCACCAATGAGATGATTTGCTAGGAAGGCGAGTTTTGTGTGCTTCTCATATTAGAACACACACGTAAGTGCGCGCGCATATACATGTGCATATATATTATGGTCTGTCTTTGGACCAGATATAAAACTCGACATGGAGTTACTAGGTCGAGTATGAATCCAGGAATAGAGTGGCCTCAACATGATTGTGACAAAGCAAACAGGTCAACCCAAAGAAGACATGTTTAGTTGATAGATGATTCCTACAATATGCAGACATAACTTTAAGAACATGTTAATGGTCATAAACGCTCAAATTTAGACAAAAAAAATAGGGTTAAATATATAACACCCCCTATAATATTAGCGAGTTTCGCATTAAACCCCTGTAAGAACATGTTAATGGTCATAAATGCTCACATTTAGACAAAAAAAATAAGGTTAAATATACAACATTTCCCTGTAATATTAGCGAGTTCCACATTAGGCCTCTGTAAAAAAAATTTAACCGGTCTTACGGAAGAGAAGATGCCCATCTGCAAATCACGGAGGGTCGGACGTTTATGAGTTAGAAAAAATAGGAGTTGATAAGCAATGGATACAGTAACAACTCTACTGGTAAAATCATGGGGCATGCTGCGAAGTGCATTGGTAATAATAATTATACAAGTAACAACTCTACTAATAATGAAATTAGGAGGTACAAAGTTGAAGGGCTTGTTCAAAGCTGTTTTCAAGCATGTATGTTCCAATATATTGAGGGAGCAAAAGCATAGTTGTTGTAGGTGCCTTTGAGAAAGCCAAAGTGATGAGTTGTCTTATGTTGACAATAAAATATTTTAGACTCACACTTACAATAAAGATTTCTTACTCATAAGAAGATCATGAGTTTGCGTCTTCCATGCTATTTTTTGGATTTACAAGTAATCCATGAATATGAGGTGATGAAAATGAACTTTGTATCAAGAGAATCTCTACTGAAGAAGAGTCCATCAATGAAAGAAAGAGCACAGGCGGATACAGCATACGGCCAGCTTGGGCAAATGCCCAGGCTCGTGTTGCAGATCTGCTACATTCGACATCTCCATAAATACAACTCTTCACGACAATCTCCCTCCTACGAGCAAAACTGTAACCCACAGAACTAAACGCCTCTCCGCGAAATCCGCCGCCATTACCCACCCGCAACATCCTCCACCGGACCGAGACCTCTGATGCCGTATCCCACCGTCGTCCTCCGCACCCCTCGTAAAACCGAAACCGACCGCGATACTGGCAGTTGCTCCGCCATCGAATTCCTCATTGAGAGATCCGTTTTTTTTTTTGCTGACTAATTTTTTGTATTTATTTTCCCTTTGTGTTGATTGTACAGGTTATGCTAAGCAATTTAGGGTGCAGTAAAAAAACAAGAAGGAAGAAAAGATGAGATGAGGAGATTGGATCTAGATTGTTATGTCTCTCTCCTAGTAATATACAAATGTTTTTATTTTATTGTATTTTCTTACTCTGCCACGTGTCATTCTATGATAGCTCCCTATTTGTTGAAAAGTCAATTGATTTCCTTTCTTCTTAAATTTTCGGTCGACAACAGTAGAGAGTCACCACCCATTGTCTATATTCATTGTCCCATTTTTTTCTTCTTCTTTTAAATAATAACAATTATTGATTAGACTTAGGTTTAACTAAACTTGGGCTCTTGGGCCATAATTTCTATCTTTTTGCTGATTCACACCCCCATCTCCAATTCTACACTCCTATTCCATTTATTCTATTTTTTTATTAGGTTAGGTAGTTTTTATTAGGTTAATTAATTTTCTTAATATATTTTTTTTATAGGAATGATTAATTTAGTAATATAACTTATATTAATTCGGTCAACTTTTTAGATTAAATCATTTCGTTCATCGCACTTGTACATAATCAATTTTTTTCTAATCAAATTGATTCGACATTTTCGCAAGTAATAGAATGTTCACCTTTAAATAATTGAATCGGTCGATACATCATCTTCCGGTTTATCATCCAATATTAAAAATACCAAAACCCACGCAACTGGAGGGATTCTTTGATAGAGGCACAACACCAAGATATTTTAAATAAACTTGAGAGTGGTGAGATATCTAGAGGAAAGGGCTTGCACCAATCATCTAATCTCACAAGAACTGGGGATACTAGATGGGGTTCACATCATACTACATTGCTTCGTTTGGATCAAATGTGGCCCTCTGTGTTAAAGGTGCTTAGTATGGTTGATGAAGATGGACGTGGACCATCTCAAGCAGCGGGTTTGATAGAAAAAATGGAGAGCTTTAAATTTGCTTTCATTTTGAAATTAATGTTAAAGTTGTTTGGTATCACAAACGAGCTTTCAAATGTCTTGCAAAGAAAAGATCTTAATATTGTGATTGCCATGGAATTAGTTGATGATGTCAAAGCTCGATTGGCCACAACAAGAGAGAGTGGTTGGGATAATTTATTTTCTGATGTCCAAGATTTTTGTGTTGCTAAAGGTATTCCAGTTCCAAATATGGATGATGAAATACCGGTTCGGGGTCGTTCAAGGGTATAAGGGAGGACTGTCACTAATCTTCATCATTACCGTGCAGAGATTTTTTATGTTGCTATTGACAAAATATGTGTGGAGATGGATCATCGCTTTAGTGAAGAAAGTAACATTATCCTTAATTGTTTTTCATGTCTTGATCCCCAAAACTCTTTCTCCAAGTTTAATGTTGATAAGCTTGCTCGTCTTGCGGATATTTATCGTGTAGACTTTTCTGATGATGACCGAGGAACAATAAGGGATCAACTTGAGACTTATGTTCTTCAAGTGAGAAGAAATGCTTCATTTTCCACTTGTGAAGATGTTCAAAGTTTGGCTATGAAAATGGTTCAAACTGAGAAATATTTAGTATTTCCATTGATTTATAAACTTATTGAGTTAGCTTTGATATTGCCGGTGTCGACAGCATCCGTTGAAAGAGCTTTTTCAGCAATGAAGATTATCAAGTCTAAATTGCGCAATAAGATCAATGATGTGTGGTTCAATGACTTGATGGTATGTTACACTGAGCGGGAGATATTCAAATCACTTAATGATATTGATATTATTCGAACATTCACCGCAAAAAAGTCTCGGAAAGGACATTTGCCTCGTAATTTTATTTAACCCGCTATTGTAAGGTTATATTTGTCTCTTTTATTTTAAACTATATTTTTGTGGACAAAATGGCGAGTCTCTGTTATTTTGATTGATGAGTATTTATATATTATATACAATGTGAATTTGTGATCTTTAATTTTTCGCCCAGGCTTTATAATATTTCTGGCTCCGCCACTGAGAAAGAGTCCTAAACAGAAAGAAGAAAAACCGAGTGGAATAAATCGATGAAAGATGGTAAAACAATGAGAGGTAAAACTCAATTCTTGTATTGCCTGCAAACCTTTGTATTGACAACAATTGTTTTCAATATTTGGCTGAAGTTTTTAGATTTTATCCATGGTGAATATTTGTATTCCCAAAGAGACATGAAAAATTATAATTTGTTTTCTACAATTCTTCCACGTCATATCTAGTTTTTGCTTGGTGACTCTAATTGTTTTACCATCTTTCATCGTACTATGTTCAATCTAGTACTGCAACAAATGATGATAATTTGTTATATAGCTCTCTTCCACTTTCGGTTTCTAAATAATGTTGTTTAAGCATTGTGCATGAAGAATGCATTGCAAAAATGAAATAGATATCATTGGTTGATCTCAGCTGTGATGGATTTGTCCAAATTCCATTTGAACTTATTAGAGACACAGTCCAGGTAAATTTGATTTACTTTGTATTGTCTTTTTGTATTTGCATTTTCCCAGCATAATTGAAACATTGCAACTCCTTTTCAGATCAATGATGATGAAATTAAACTATGAACCAAATGATTCGAGTTAATTGGATGTGTAGTAGTTCATTCTTAACAATAGATTATCGAAAAAATGATGATGATGATTCTTAACAAAGATGATGATGAGTACAACTTTGTTATTGTAATGGTGAAGATGATGTAATGAGTTAACAAATCAACTGTAAATAGAAAATATTCTCTAAGTATAAGAGTTTATAAACTTCTTTCACACAATGCATTTTAAAAAACAAATAATGAGTTATCAGAAAATATATTGGACTCTAATATATTATTTTAATAATTAATCTGTAAAAGTAATTTCATAAAAAATATTAATAAAAAAAATTAAATAATATATATATATATATATATATATATATATATATATATATATATATATATATATATATATATATATATATATATATATATATATATATATATATATATATATATATATATATATATATATATATTATATATATATATATATATATATATATATATATATATATATATATATATATATATATATATATATATATATATATATATATATATATATATATATATATATATATATATATATAAATTAAAAAAATAAAATAAATAAATTTTACTTGACATTTAAAAAATAAATGAAAAATAAAAAAAAATCTAACTTAGACTGTATATTTAACCCAAAAAAATAAAGAGTTTGATCTTCATTCATTGTCTCTAGCTAGAATGAGAGACAATGACAACCATGCTAATTGGTAACACTTGTTAGGTGAGAATATGCAAAATACAACTCTTTAGATGTGGTGAATAGACCTCTAATAAAATGACCAGTTCAAATTTGTTTCGAAAAGTTTTATTAGAGTTTAAAAAGCAAAAAATAATTATGTTTACGGACCAGTATATACACTAAACAACTTAATCAATACTCAATTCAATTAAGATAGAATTAGAGATTTAACTAAAATGAACAAACCAATGTATTGAATTGAATTTATATCAAAACTAGACAAGCTGAGTATTTGTACAACGTCAATACAATATAAATTCTATGATTACAGTTTTCAGTCTTAATCAACAACATAGAAATATAAAGTATTGATTGTAACAAAATCTACACTTGATTAATAAATCGCTACCAAAATAAAAATCTAATGGCATGCAATTCTAAAAAGATGGTAAAAGCAACCTAACATGCAATTTCTATGAAACTAATATATATATATATATATATATATATATATATATATATATATATATATATATATATATATATATATATATATATATATATATATATATATATATATATATATATAGGTTTAAATATTGTCCTCACTAAGTTTAATCTACTCTCCAATGGTTCACTATTAAAAAAAATTGGTCAATATATTTTGTGAGAAATTACATGAGTTTTAGTACAATCACAATTTCCTAATAACACTTAAATATAAAAATCTTCTACTGGATTCCTTGACTTGTACACATTGTCCGAAATGAATTATTGTGAAATCTTTATGCGAAATCGTCTTGAATCTTCCAACCTTAACAATTATGCTCCAAAGTCTCTGTTCTACAATGATTTTACTACTGATTTTACTACAATGATTTGTGTTTGAAGATTGAGAAGAACTCTCACATTGTTTGTAGCTTTCCACACATTACTACCAAGGCAAGTATGGAGAGAAGAACCTCCTTCTTTTTCAGTAGAGTTATCAAAACTAGCCACAACATCACACCTTGCAAACCTATGAAATCTCAAGAAAATCTTCAAAGAAGCGTTAATCCAATAACAAAATCTCCTCAACAATCGCAAATTTCCAAAGATGATATTTAGATCCACATGAAAATGAAATGTGAACGAGATAAAAGATAAAAGAAATAGTTTGCAAGCACTCAAGAAAGATTCAAAACTCTTTTTGAAAATGAGAGAACAAGTGAGTTATGAGTTTTTAAATAAATATTGAAAGTGTATGTAACATTATGAAAGATTCTGAGAGAAAATGCTATTTATATGTGTTGGAAACCTAGCAAAAAATGAGTGCGAATTTTGTATAGTTCGAGTCATAAGCAAGAGGTATGGGTGAAGTCAGAAAATCAAATGATTTGAATCTAGAAACAAAAATTGCATGAAACCCATTTGTGTGATTCAAGTCACAACAATTGTGATTCGAGTCATATGATTCGTGTCAAAAAATGGTGATTCGTATCAGAGTTCCGAAAGTCAACCAAAAAGTTTTTCAATTCAGTGTGACTTGAATTAAGCCTTCTTGTGATTTGAATCAGAGTGATGCGATTCTAATAATGACTTATGTGATTCAAATTTCATACATATTAGTAGTTTTAACCAACAAACAAACGACAAAAGTATTTAGCATCAACTATTTGGAATCTCCTCCCCCTCTTACCCTAG